TACTCCTCTCCAGGAACTATAAATACAGAAATAAAACAAAGTTTAAATAGATTTTTTTTTTGCTTGCTAATTTAAACAAATGGTAAATTAACCTGCCTCAAAGCCAGAAGCATCTCTCAAGTTAGCCCAGAATAGAGAGTAGAGAAGTAGCTAAAGGATACTAATGCCCTCCTCTTTTCTCCTAGAGCAAAGTTTTCTGCTGCACATGATCTCACCACCTTCACATGCAAAGAATAGTGACAGACAACAACCTGACTAGCTGTGATCGGGAGTAGTGCAGGATCATGTTCTTAGTGTGTCAGGGGGGTCCTGCTATACCGGAAAGGTGACGGACAAAACCAAAAGCTTAATTATAAATACGTTCAGAATCTACTTCTCAAGAATGAGTTTTCCGTAACTTCATAATGCTTTGTTTCCATACTTGTGTCATTTATTATCTTTTACAGTTTATAACAATGAGAAAACAAATCCCCAAAAGAGGGCAAAGGCAGACAAATTCAAATTAGAGCTGAAACATTGTTTTGTAAGCAGCATAAGGATTGCAAAGACTACAAAAGAAGGTGCTGGAATTTCCATCTCCAAGTTTGCACACCGAAGCTACCTACCTTCTGGAAGTTACTCTTTAAGTGTGATACAGAGCCTCGATATAGAGGCTCCTATGTGACTTAACTGGAATTTAAGCATGAAAAAAAAACACGGTCACTTACTCAGCAGCGCCTTAAATATTTTAAACCTAAGAAAACCAGGCAATATCACGAACAGTATATTAGAGGGATCTGTGTACTTCAAAGTGAGAGGCACAGCTGCAGTTACTCTGCTGCTTTGCATCTACTTGTGAAGTATGAGGAAGCTGGCTTGAAAGGAGAGTACCCCTTTACACCCACCGACAACTGTTCCCAGTCCGAACACACTTACAGGTCAGTCTCTCCCTTAGCTCAGGCGTTGGAGCCATATCGACCGCACTCTTGCCGTGGCAGTTGACTAACGTGGGATCCGCACCGTGACTCAGCAGGAGGGAGCAGACCTCTACACGGTTCTTGGAAGCAGCCTCGTGCAAGGGAGTAAATTGCCAGAGGTCCATAGCATTCACACAGGCGCCATGCTAGCACAGCAAAGAAAGCCTCGTATTAGTAAGAAATCATCTTCAACAACTAAAAGCTTACAGATTTTCATTTCATTATAAAAACTGGTTCCATTCTTTCATCTACGAACACATACACAAAAAAATATAAAAATACCTGTATATACAAAAATAGTTGAATCCTCAAAAAAATTGGAATTTCTGTATGAGCTAGTTTTTCACTAGAACAGATTTTTCCCCAGAAAAATTCAAATAAATGAAACTCTACTATCTGTGCAAAGAAATTAGGTGGGGAAAAACCCACATATACTGTACCACAGAAATACCTAAAGTTGCAAGCTTCTGAAATGACATACAGGATGTTTGAAACCTGTTACTACAGAAAAAAAAATAAAATCTTCCATTTCAACTCTGGTATAAACAGTTTGTATCTCATGTAATACATCTAAATCTACAGTAATTACTTTCCATCCTTCTGCTTACCTTAAGCAGCAGCTCTGTAACCTCGTAGTGTCCATATGAACATGCATTATGAAGAGGCACAAGACCACTGTGTGGAAGAAGGCAAATGACAAATTTATTTAAGCAGCATTTTTAAAGAAGGAGGAACAATTTTCTCTCTACTGAGAGATGACCAGAAATCAAATTAAATCTAAAATATTTAAATATTCAAATATTTAAAAATTAAGATTCACAACCTATGGGAAAAATCTAACCTTCCCAAACAACATGTTACTTAAGATGGGCATTAATTTTTTTTTTGTCCTAACAGGCCACAGGTGTTTAATCTACCGCTAAGATTAGCATTAATTGTCTTTGAAAGGATCTTTCTTGAAGCTATTAAGGGGAGGAAAAGTCCCATTCCACAGTCAGTTTGCTCAAGAGAAGTCAGTGTTCTGTTTCTGCCTAAATATGAACTCCTCTTTATTTAGAATGCTATATGAAAGGCGAAACTTCCCAGGTAATGCTAACATAACTCCTGGGTATATTACGAAGGTATGCACAGAAAGCAGACTGAAATTGCTGCTCCATACTGTGGAATGACCTGATTTTACTCCATTTTTTATAGTACAACCTATTTAACTGTGCAAGATATTTCTAAGAGAGTCCCCGTAATTTCTGTACAGCTATATTACTGGAGGCCATACTTAAAATGACACTAGCAAAGTAAATAACAGAGATCTAGTCATAAGCACAAGACGTAATAAAAAAGTCATGCTTTGAAAAGGACATGCAAAGAGGACAATTATTACAGAGGACAAAATAAATTTAATTCAAGCCAAGCAAGACAGGCTAGTTATGGCTTAACAAATCAGGATGCATAATAAACTGAAAACAATAATTAACCCTTCACCATTTATGAAAAATATAGGGGATGATTCCCAGAATGGCAAAATCAACTCAAAGAGCATTAGGACAGCAAGTACTAGACAACAGGGTAAACAATTTTAAGGCAGATGCTCTCGGAAGCAGTACTGCACTTGTCACAGGAGAGGGAAATTTGTTTTGGGGAAATTTTTCAAACTGTTATTTTCCATTGTTACTTTTCTTAATTACAACTTATAAGTGTATGTATGAGACAGAGAGAGAGAGTATCCAGTCCACAGAGCACTCAAAAAAACTGCCCTCTTCCAAAATGATGGCAATCTGAGAGGACTGAGGCCTTCAAGGTCTCATCAGCAAAGGCAGCCACCGCAGCACTCCACCTGGCCACTTCTGCAGCATACCCTCCTCTTTTTTTTCCCAGCACATTGGGACTTTGTGCACAACAGCAGTAGGGCAACGAAAGGACCAGTGGAAAAAGAGCAGCTTCCTTGGCTGTGGTCCTCTTTGGGAATAACTAGAAGTGACAACCATTTTGAAGATGCGGCACAGTTCCTCAGGACTCTCTCTGAAGTGACCCCATTGAAGAGAATCTAACAGGTCAATAAAATTAATGTAACCTAATTTAGCTCCATAAATGAAAAATGATGTTTATTTATACCCTATTTACTTATAAATTATGTATAAACAAGAAACAGCAAGGAAAACCAAAACACCACACTGATTGTAAATGTGTGATGCCACTAAAAAAAATGGGAGCTTATTGGGATGTCAGACATTTCTAAGTATGTTTGGGTTGTTTAATACAACCCAATTTTTTAAGTTTAATACAAAGTGTATAATTTTTCTTTCTTTCCTTCCCCTCCCAGCCCCCTCACCCCCTGCTCAAGTTCAACTTAATTACTTTTCACACTTTTCATACTTTCCAAGTAGATCATTCGAACCTCATTAAAGCATCTATGCTAGAATTTTCTACCAAGTGATGCTGGAATTTCAGAAAGGTGTGAAATACCTAAAACTTGCTTAACAATGCTGGATCTACCTGAATAGGTATTACATGCAGCTTTACTGGGGGGGGGGTTTTGACTTACATAATGTGTCATCATGCATTTCACAACAATTCTGATCAAAAGAGCCACTGAGGTGAATGTACAGACAAAAGTGCTACAATTAGTCAATCTTCAAGAGTTTAAGTATGCTTGGGAGTGGTTTTGGAAAGGAAAAAAAAATTTAAAAGTTAAAGATCTTAATTTAAAATCTCTTCTGGTACTAGGCTGGACTCAGCAGAAAATGAAGATATAGAAAGTGCCTCAAGTTTGCTGATGGAGACAGAACACACACTCATTAATATCTTACCTCTATGGACTCTGAATACAAAATGCATGCCTTTAACCAGGGGCCCAATTTCTATAATGTTAGGACTAAATCTTCCTATCAGACCACCATGAGAATCAGCACCTTAGAGTTCAGAAACGTATGGCTGAAAACAATGTACAACATGCATCATTCCTGATTTCTGACTGCTGCGTACTTTTTGTTGATATCTTACGTAACTACCATCCTTACTGCAAAAATAGAATAGTTTAGCTTCTACTATATCTTGATTTTTGGTGGCAACATCCATCAAGATAGATCTCCGAGGATCTCTAGTTGCGAGCACATGAGTGTTATTGATATTACCTGGAATTACATCCTTATATATGCAACAAGATAATGAGACTATTGGTAAATTTTTCAATGCACGTTTTTTCACTAAGCCCACGTATCTTCTCCTAAAATAATGCTATTAGCCCATGATTTCACAGGGTAGTCTGTGCATGGAAGTAAAGAGCAAGGTTTGGAAAAAAATTTAAAGGTGTAATAGAAGACTTAAAACAAGTGCAATCACAGCTAATCTGTTATTGGGGCTCTAATAAAAGTTTATTTATGATGAACCACACTCAGATTTTGGAAGCAAATCTCACATTCTCAGCCGACTATTTGAGATTATGCTGCAATGTGAAACAGAAATAATTCTTCATCTTGATTAATACAAAACCACTGCTGCAAACAGATAACAGATCAATTGATTTTACATACCCTTTGTCCTTTGCGTGCACATCTGCACCGTGCTGAAGCAGAAGTTGGACTATTCGAACTCTGTTGTAGCCTGCTGCTAGGTGTAAAGGAGTGGACTGCAAAGTAAAACAAAACAAGATGAAGAATGGGAGCCACTTAAATTTGAAGTCCTGCAGTTCCTGCCATTTAAGTACTCTTCATTTCTCTTACACATTGGATCAAGACAAGTTACAATTCCCTTCCGTGATTAGCCAAATTAACCAATACACAGCACATACATGCCCTTCCTGTTCTCAAACCAAATAAATGTTCCTTAAGGTGGGGAAGAATCCAAGTATCTCCTGAGGCAATAACAAGCTCATCATTTAAAGTTAATTTAAATAATAGCCCAACTTTGTTTTGTTTGGGGTTTTTTTGTTTGGTTTGTTTTTTTTTTCTTTCTTCTTTTTTTTTTTAAATGCTATAATTTATTTTTAAAAAGCTAGATTTTTTTTTTAAATTCATGAGGAAATTTATGCAGTTCAGGCTGCGTACTCACAGATTACAAAACTGTTTATATGCACACTTGTTGCAATAAGTGCACAAGAGGCAGACTGCAGAACAAGAAATAATGCATTTATGCCATAACAGAAATGTTTGTCTTCAGCTCTGCACCAAACAAGCAGCCGTATGTGCTCTGTACTGTGCTGTGGTAAGACACAGAGCAAACTGTATGCAGTTTGCAGTCTCCTGCAAAATGCACATCTTCAGCAGTAATGCACCTTGCTGCATAATAATACAGTACTAATAACACCTTTCTCCATAGGTAATTTGTAAGATTTTTAACTGAAAGCTTTTGAAGTTGACAACAGTAATGCCCCCTGAAATTTATTTTAAAAGCTTTTTATTATGAAACCAATTTTGTGTGCTGTCTCAGTCGGAAGGAACTGATTTCTTACACGAATGGGTGATGCTGTTTCCTCCTTCTGAGAAGGCTGAGAAGCAGAGGATTTTAAAGGGATCTTTGTTGCTATTTATTTTGCGGCGTGCAACCAAACAACAAAATTTTATTACAGTAAACTCCCATACATAAACCAGCTTGAACACATGGGAAGACTTACATATCTCACAGTATTAAGCCAAGTACAGATTTACTGTCAGCATTAAAACATCATTATACGGTATTACAGGTGAGACATCACATTTCACTATTATCAACATTTAAAAAACAAAAATCAAGACAAATGGTCTCATCTGTGGTAAACAGCAGCAGGTGCTATATATCCCAAATAGTATGGATTTCCAGGAATTAATACATATTTGTATGACCATAACTTGGAGTAGTCCACATTATATTTTACTATAGTCTCAACACTTCGCTACTTTGCTCCAGAAAGGGTAACTACTTTGACACCTACCAAGTGTCCTGTGTACCACAGCGAAGACACAGCTTGTACTGTCAGAAATGACAGCACAAGCTGAAAAAACACCTAGGTAACCCAGTTTATTTGGTGACGCAGTTATGCAAGTTTCTATAAGACTCATCTTTGGAATTATCTATATTCAAAATAAGGACCTCTAACATTCCTAACCTGAAGATCCCTAAAGTGTCTCCAAAGTACAAAACGCCACCACCAATAAAACGGGTCAAATCTTTTAAGTGTTTGGCTATTCAAATTGTTAGGATCTATTCTCTGTTCCAGAAAGGCTTCTACTACTGAATTAACAATTTGGACTGGTCCAGAATGTACTATATTCTTTTCACATCTGCCCCTATTTTAAAATAGCTGGCTTCTGCATATGATAAACACTAATGAAAATGTGGATGAAGATTACAACGCTATTGACATTAGCAGAATACTTCAGTACTGTTTATTCTGACAATTGCCTTGGTTTGGTTACTAAACCCAGTTTTATTAACAGAATTAATAACTCAGAAAACCTGAAAGGAATTTGAAATGGACTGTGGAAAAGTCAGTCTATTGAAAGGTCTAAAGACCAGAAGAAATTGGAGCAAACACTAAACCTTTGGGCCACTGTAGGATTCTTTAACCTCACTACAATTAAACTACATCCATTTTTGTCTGCATGCTACTTCTAAAACAACAATGGCAGACTTCCAAGATGATGCTTTACTCATATTAAGCATTATTAATAGGGATGTTCTCAAAGATACATCAACCCTGGAGTCTTGTTCACTGCTTACAATTAAAAGAAAAACTATTATGACTCAAGCTGGCACTGTGCATTTTGTATTTCTAGGGCTATTAGACCTGCATTTGCCAAGTAACTTCATTAGAGAAGAAACCCAAAACATTTCAAGCTTATAGTTGCAAGACAAATGACGTAAGTGAAGCAAAACAGTGACATCCCGAAATCTTCAGACAACTTACATCCCTGCCTTTCAGAAAGGTGAGCTACTTCCTTCTCCTAGAGCAAGGCCATGCAGACACCACAGTCCCGTGAACGAACACAGAATACCACATCTTCCCCAACACACCAGGGATTACTTATTTAGCTGCAGCCAGGTGCCTGATGTTTGGCGTGCTTGCCTTCTGATCCACAGCAGCTTCAGCGAAGCTGTGTGCCACGCTGCGGCTGCCTCTGCAAGGAGGAGCTAACTGCGCCCATCCCTGGAGACGGGGCTGAGATCTCCGCCAGTCTTCACGCTTCAACCGTGCGATCACAAACCACACAACTTGGAGGACAACGCAGTGCTGGAGACACAGGCAGTGAGAGGGCCAGAGAGACCCCCTGACTGAGGGGCAGGGAGAGCTGAACACCAAGGGCGTGCAGGAGCGATGCTGGAGGGCTGCTCCCCCTGCATCCAGGCCTGGGGTACCACAACCCACAAGCCAGCATTGCTCGTTGCTCTTTAGGTTCGCTAAAAGGCTCTTATAAATGCTGTGCTTATATATGCCTCAGGAAGGAGGAAGCAGGAAGGCCCTCCCGCAGTGATTTTTTAAGGACTTGTTTTGCTTTCTTGTGAGAAGGAACATTCATTAATGCTACAGATTTAATAGTTAAAAATACTAATCTGGCGTTACAAGCTTGTATGCTAATTACAGAAACTAAGTACCTAAAAGATAATGTCGTGCTACATGAACTACTCATTATATGGGATTATTAGCCCTCCAAAAAAAAAAAATCAGGCGAATGATGGTAGTAAAGAAACCGATGTTTAAAATTAACATGCTGTTTATATAGCACTAGAAAAGCAGAAACTAGGTATCACAAACAGCAGTATTGTATACGGCACCTGCAAGGTATATCAAACTAAGCACTTATTAAGAAAAGAGATTTAATTGAGCTATCCATTAACCCCTCCTCCCATGTCTTGCAATACCTGGCAAGAAACTTACTAACAAGAATCCCCAGAGGGCACTTACCTTCCAAGACTCACATTCACAGTTACCAAGCCAATCACACTGTCTTACTTGCTAGTGTAATTAAAAAGAGTACAATTCCACTTTTATTAAGTAGACCCTCATGTGAGATGCTCACGTTATTTTAAAGTTTTATGGCAGCTGTAATTGAGTCAAAGCAGGTACTGTGCATTTCAGGGAAGATCACTGTACACAAGATGGCAATCACTGTCAACCTGTATACCTAGAATTTATACTAAAGTAGGTATTTTTGCCTGCAGTCTTTTTGAAAACATGTTGCCTGGGAATACGAGAAATGCATTTTTTAGATTTAAAAAATGTACATACAGCAGTTTGACACTATTTTCATTGAGCCTTAGGTATTTTCACACTGCTTTGTTACCAACAGCTGATTTGATGATCCCTGTTCAAGGTCAGCTGCCTCAGACCTGCTGCCCCCTGTTCACCTGCATCAAAGGAAAGGGGCACGGAGGAATCGCCAGAGCTGCAGGCTGCTGAGCTGCTTCTACTGAAATCAGAAAATTGGTTTCAACAAATCATCCACAGGCAACACGGGAGTGCTGGCTCCAAGCCTATCTTGCTAAAGAGTCTTCAGCAGCTCTTAGATGATAATGCTGCCACAGTCTCAGAAGAAAAGCTGCATTTTCAGATTCAAACCGTGGATTGCCCATTTTATGGGCAACTTTAAACTGAGGGATGTTATGTAAGGATCTTGTATCATGTGTTATCTGCATGATCAATAACAACTGCAGGAACTGTTTTAAGAACTAATATTGCCTGTTCTTGCGTTCTGCTACCCAAATCTCTGTTTAATGCTACCTGATAACAATCTTAATCAATGTGTTTCTCTCATTCTCAAGCTGTCATCCTGAAGGCTATTAAAACTAACAAACAACAATCTTCTTATCACATATATGATGTCTCATCATACATCTAATTTACAACACTATACAGTGATTTAGAATTATCATAATTTAATTTCATTTTCTATGGGAAGGGCATTCTCACAATAAAGAGGTGACACCCCAATTTTGAGAGCCAGCTCTGGCCTTGACATATTATAGCTACTCTCATGTTCAGAAGGTCCCCACCTGGATACACACTAGTAAGGGTGGCTCTTACACAGACAGACAAACAAGTATGACTTGGTAGAAAATACCTAAGGACACTCGTTATGTTTCTTGTTAATTCTTCTACAACACCCTGCTGACAAAGGATGTAAAAAAAAAAAAAAAAGTAGGAAAAGGAGGGGGGAGGATTTTAAAATGTTCCATGTACACTTTAATATATGTGACTTTTTAACCTTGTCTATAACTATCTTCAGGTTTGGTAGATTTGGAAATTGCAGTTATGCAGCAAACTGCCATCTAACGTTCGTCAAACAAAACCTTTATTCTAATCAGACCATACTGCCTGTAGAAAGCAGTAGCAATAAAATAATATCTTAACCTTTTTTAGTCTGTCTTACAAGCTCCCTTCAAAACAGTGTTTCACCTCCGCTGAATTAAGGGAAGAGCAGAGAGGTTTCTAATCACAGAAGGGACCTTTATTTCACAGTTTTGCATAAAACCGTTTTGAAAGATGTCCTGACTCCTGGCAAGATAACTGTTTGAATCTGGCATACTAAGGAAAAACCTCTGAGCAGGCAAACAACTCTCTCTTCAGTGGGTTAGAATTTATGACAGAACCTTTCTTTCCAACCGCAAAAGTCTGTGTCTGCTTGATGCGGCTCTCTTACAGACTTCTCTAAA